GCCCCTTGACTTGCTTTTGACAGCAGAATTAAAAATCATTGCAATTAATTAAATGGGGCTATTAGAAATGGAAAATCAATAGAATCTAGACTGTAACTTCACCAGCATCTTTATTACCATATACATGTATGCATACACATAAAAGTTGTATATACAAGTTGCACGCTCTGTTACTTGTACCCATTATAGAATATTATGAGGTGCTGGGATACAGAGGGAGGGATATGTCTATAGTTGGCTACAGGACCACGAAAATTCAGCGATATAGATTAGGAAAAAGGGAAGAGGCCCAAGAAGTGGCTAAGGATGCTTGCAGTTAAAATGGGATATAAAAAATACTTTAAAAATAGACATCAAGAATTTAAGAATGACAGTGTTGGGGACTGGTCCCTCCCTCCTCATTTTTCAGGATATCTCTGGTTTTAAAGCATCCTATGTAGTCTCACCCAGATCATCAGTTCAGGTCATCTTTCTCACCGGTAAATAGATAATCTTTACTACAAAAGCTTCCAGCGTAGAAGTACATCGTGTCCATTCTTTATAACACATATTGGTAATGAAGATGTTCAACATTTATATGATGGTGAAGTTACATTCTAGATTCCATTCATTTTCCATTTCTAATAGCCCCTTTAATTAATTGCAGTGATTTTCAATTCTGCTGTCAAGAGCAAGTCAACTGTTACTCTGATTGCAACTGGGTATTTCAAACTATCATCTTGATTACAAATGAGTGAATTTCATGCTGCAGTTGGAGAGACCTTGAATATTTTGAAGAGAGGAGTAGAAATATGTCTGATGGTAGAAAATAGAATGGTAGGATTTATACATAAATCCAAGACAACAGTTACCCTATTTTACTATTTTAAAGCTATACACAATCTTCAGTAGTTTCCTGTCAAGATAGGACCTTTATATTGTAGAGTCTGAAAAAGATCTGCATATGATATTTAACTAGGAAACATTGGAACTGTTTTTAAATAAATATAAAGCATTGGTACAAGAACCCTGTTCTCTTTCCAAGTCTTGAAACCATAAACTTACTCCCATGCTGTCATAGTTCAAGCATTTTTGAATTATTGATCAGCTTTTTAAAAATTCTAACTTATATTATCCTGAATACCGATGCATCCTAGGTGAGAATCTTTCCTATTTCTGATATTTCTGGAGTTGTCACCGCCTATTATCTGTGTCTGTGACTGTAAGGTGTGGCATTTGGCTAGTTAGAAGGAGTCACTGCTGATTTCCACCTTCAGCCACTAAAGGATCTATTGATGCTCGTGATTGGTTCTTCCATTTTGTACGTTAAACGACATTAGTGTATGAAATTTGCAGGTTTGCCACAGAGTCTTCTTCTTGCCCAAAGTCAACTTTTGGAGTTGGCCAAGTGAGCAACATGGGATCGGGTAAAGCCAACCCTACAGCATCTGGAGCACCTTTTCCAAAGGAAAAAGCCAGCATTTCACCCACTGCTTGACATGGCAGTCAGAGCCAGGAAAGGCTTCAGGGAAACAGGGCAGGATGTGGGAAAAGCCAACCCACCCCTTCCCTTTTTCTGAACTCCTTCTAGGACTTTCCAACTCATAGCTTGAAAAGAATCAGGGGAAAGCAGTCGCCAAATTGAGCAGAACAGCTGCTTCCTGCTTTACTGTTTTTTGAGTGGAACATCTAATTTCTTTTTCAGAATATGCTTGAATATAAATAATAGACATGCCATTGTGAAAATACCTTTTCCATTGTAGGGGGGAAAAAAGCCTTAATATTCAAAAAAGATAGGGTCTTGGTTTCTTTATCCCATTTTACTAAAGACTATTAACAGAATAAGCATTTATTTTTTTCCTCAGAAATTAATAACTATTATTTACGTAAGTCAATAACAGCTTTCTCCGTCTACGAGAAAGTTTCATAAGAACAACAAGAATGAACACAGCACTCAGCATGCGCCAGACACTGTTCAAAGTGCTGGTACATGTTTAGTCCTCTACTTCTTATGGCAACTCTGAGGTAGGTCCTATTATATGCATTTTACAGATGAGGAAACCGAAGGACAGAGAGGTTAAGTAACGTGCCCAAGTCATACAGCTAGGATGTAGCCGAGTCAGGATTTAAACCAAGAGAGTGGGGTCCTCAATCTGTGCTCCTAACCACTATAGGAGCACAGATGGTTACTTGAAGCAGGAAGAAAAGTTCTTGCCTTTTCATAGGCAACAGTTCACTAATCTCTAAATATATTAAAGTGCAATTTTTACCCAATTCTCCAATGTGAAATGTGGAGAATTAAAAAAAAAATACACAGAGCCTGCAAACTTGCTTACTTTGATGAATGATTCTAAGCAAAGAAAATGCTTTATGGGTTCAAACAAGTCAAATTCACGAACTATTCTCCATGGTGGAAACTAGCTGGTGGTCTGTATTTACAACACCTCTTCTCTACTGTTGTTGCAAATAATCAATAATTAATCTATAGATAAGAAAGACAAGGTGATATTTATTGAGCCAAGTTGAGGACTAGCCTGGAAGCGCAGTCTTCACCAGGGAAGAAAGCACTCTGGGGAAGCGTGGTTTACAGCACGGTTATACACCGTTTCAGAACAAAGAACATAACTCAAGCATGACAGGAATACAATTTTTGCTCTCAAAGTCACAAGGAGATGTTTTGCTACAGTTTAGCACACACACAGCAGGTCAACTTGACCTTGGTTTTCTGGGAAGAAAAGCTTCTTCAAAGAAGTACTGGTATTGGCATCAGAGGAAGGGAGACATTCATCCCTAAGAAGTGCACTCTTTGGTTTGGGAAAATGTTTGAGGCGGATGGACAATGCATGTTTGGTGGGCCACAAGGCAGGCTGCTCTGGCAAAAACAAGTTTTGGGCCAAATCAGGTTTAAACCAGAATGGCTTCCCCATATACCTCAATATGTGAAAACTTATTATTCTCATTATTTTCATCACTTACCAGGAATGACATAGCAATGGAACTGTGTGAGACTTTTTTTTAGGGAAAGGGAATTAGGTCAAAGGTGAAAGGTATCCCTGGGTATCTCCCGAGAGAGAAATCGGGAGAAATCTGAGAAGAGCCCGGTGGGACTTGGTTTCCACCAGTCCCGTATTTAAAACCATGAAATGAAAATTAGGTGCAGGGCTAGATTTTTATGGTCATAAGCAGGTTAGTCAGTGAGTTCCAAAGAGTTCACATACTCTCCTTTCTACTCCTTTTAAAATTTCACTGTCCGAAGGACTTGACAATTATTACTGCTGAATAAACTCATTCATTTATTAAATAATGAGTAGAAACAGTTAAGAGTTGACTCCAAAAAAAGACAGGAAACATGATAAACGTGGGAAAGGGCATTACAAAGTTTGCAAAGGAAATCAAATCTCCAAAACACAATGATTTTGCCAAACTATTGTAAGTAACTCAGGAGAGAAAGCAAGACACTCCCATGTAAATTCTCTTTTATTTTTTCCCCTCTATTCAGAGTTCCATCCACATGTTACAGCCTCAAGCAGCCAGTAGAATTTTTTAAATCAATAATTGAAAAAGTAAACTAAGATTTAAATGATCAAGATACAAATACATAAAAGGGATATTTATAGTGTAATGTTTATCAAACTAACTTGAAAAACAGGATTATTTTACTTTAAATTACTCCATTTCAATGCATGAAAGGAATGGTCCACAGTACAACAAAAGTAATATTTCTAAAAGCGTTATTTTATTATCTCTCGTTCTGTATGAATTTTCAGCCTTTGACATCTGTCTTTACCACCATAACCAATACAGAGTTGTTCAAAATAAAGTTTTGACCCAAACTGGACTATGGGGATGCAGACAGGAGTGAGATAAACTCAAAACAAGCCAATCAACACCAAAAACCAGTAAAAGTGTTTTTCTTGATATTTATGTACCATATTTACAAAAGTACAGTTAAATCAATTAGTCATTATGTACATGCGTTAGTGAATATTAGTACTTTACATTTACATATATATGCGCATTCGTAATAATCAAGTAGAAAGATAAATTTTAAATAATTTTTACTTATGAAAAATATATAAAATGTCACTGATACCTCCCTCAATTTGAGTGCTTGTTCAATACTCAGTGCTTAAAAACATTTGGGAAAAAATCCCTCAGGTTCAGCCCGGTGGTGTAGCGGTTAGTTTGCCAGCTCCACTTCGGTGGCCCAGGGTTTGCCGCTTCAAATCCTGGGCATGGAACTACACCCTGCTCACCAAGCCATGCTGAGGTGGCATCACACATAGAGTAACGAGAAGGATATGACATACAACTATCTACTGGGGCTTTGGGGAGGAAAAAGGGAAAAAGGAGGAAGATTGGCAACAGATGTTAGCTCAGGGCCAATCTTCCTCAAAAAACAAACAAACAAAAATCCCAAAATACATTCCAATGGAAGATATTAAAAGTGAAAGAGGGGCCCGCCTGGTGGCAGCGTAGTGGTTAAGTTCTGCACCCTCCACCTTGGGGGTTCCCAGGTTCGGATCCCGGGCGCAGACTTACACCACTCATCAAGCCATGCTGTGGCAGTGGCCCACATACAAAATAGAGGAAGATTGGCACAGATGTTAGCTCAGGGCGAATCTTCCTCAGAAAAAAAAAAAAAAAAAGTGAAAGATGTAAGGAAATAGTGAGTGTTAAATGTGATTTTAATAAGTTGGGGAGGTGAGCAGAAAGAAGATATACATGTAGTCAGGAATCACATACCATATGCCAGATGAAGAATCACAAATGAAAGACCTACAGTTTTCCCTAAAGTCAATTTCACATGAAATTGAACAGAACCAAGGTACTTTCAGGATAGAGTAAACGAATTTAAGTTTTGGTAATGAGTTCATGCTGTTAGCCGACGCAGAACTGACTTCCTCCTAGAGTTTCATTAGGAAACGTGCCTGGGACACTGACCCTACAGTACGCTACAATGTCAGTTCCTCATTTGGCTTCCGTTCAGAGAGCAAGGGTGCAAAGGGCACCCCAATGACCACACAGCTCCAGCAGGTCTCTGCCCTCACTGAAGAAACACCGACGGCATCAACCATCCTCCCAAGCACAGCTGAGCTGGAATTCTTGGACCCTGAGTTTCTTCTTTCTCTAAAGACTGAGGCCCACGGGGACTGGGACAGCTCACCCCAGCGCAGAGGGCCCCAATCTTTCCCAGCGTGCTTCCTGGCCCATTCCCGGGGGGGACGGGGCGCGGTGGCCCCCGGCCCGGCCTGCTATTTGAGGCAGGGGCAGCAGAAGCAGCAGAGGGTCCGGCAGGGGTTCTTCTTCTTGTACTCCACCGCCTTGCCCACCTGCATCTTGGCCTGGCCGGTGTAGTCGAGGGTCTTCTCCACGTTGCGCTCGATGGTGTCCACCGTGTCGCCTTGCTCCTCCACCAGCAGGGCCATCTGCTTGAAGAGGTCGTGCAGGTCGCGGATGCGGATCTCCAGCTGCAGCAGCTCGCGGTGGCGGCTCTCGATCTCGTTGAGGGCCGCGCGCGCGCCCTTCACGTCGGCCAGCAGGTTCTCGGAGAACACGTCCCACTTGCCCTGCTCGAACATGTCCTCGATCTGGTCGCCCGAGACGTCCTTGCCCATGATATCCAGCTGGCGCTGGATGCGGATCTTGCAGTTGTCGCGCTGCTTCATCTCGGCCTCGCTGTACTCGTGCATGGCGCTCTGGAAGGCGCGGGAGAGCGCGCTCCAGTGCGCGCGCGAGATGCGCGCCACGGCCGAGTGCGCGCCGTGCTGGGCCTCGGCCGCCTCGCTCAGCGCCTTCATGGCGCACAGCTTGCGGTAGATGCCCTCGCCCCGCGCCTTGATGTCCCTGGCAATCGAGTTGGTGTCCCGCTTGATGCTGCTGAGGCGCCGCATGGACGTGAGGAAGCGAGCGTTCTGCTTGCCCAGCCGCTTCACGTCGCCCATCAGCTGCTGGTTTTCATGCTGAAGGTCCTTGACGTCCCGATACAAGGACTCCAGGAGGTAATCCGTCTCGAACACGATGTCCCCGTGGGGCGCGTCCAAGTCATCGACCTCGCCTGGGGACTGCTGGTCACACTGCCTGGTTAACGCCAGAAGGTCTGGGAGCCGGTCCTTCATTTTGCCTGCAAAGTAGAGATACTGAGGTTAAATTCCTCTAGCGAGAGTCGAGTCTTTGCACTGGGGCGATTGAAGCTGAAAAGAAAGAAATGTTGGGCTCAGCACTCCTAATTCTTTATTCCTGCGTGTAAGGCATAAATGCACTAAAGGGGCTAAATGTTCTATGACATTTTGCTTACAAGTCAAAGGCTAATGTGACAGAGTCAGGAACACACTTGTATGTTACAGTCTGCAGGCAGGCAGGCATCAGTGTTACAGGCGCCCGGAACTCAATCTGCAATTTAAAATTTTAGATTGCACTGGGAGCCAATCTCTTTTACTTGCTTTACATTTTCCAATAATCGCAAATCAAAACAGACACTGAAGAAGGAAGAATAAGAAAAAAAAAAAGGCTTGCAAAGGTAAAGATTTTTAAATAAGTACAGTCAATTTACAAGGCTTTGGGGCCAACTCTAAGCGTTGTCTGTTTTATGTCTATTTCAGCACTGGTGGGCATTCTCAGTGCTGTACACCATAACAATTCTTAAAACAGTTACCATATAAATCATGGTTTAAATTGTTCTCTCTTAAAAATGTTATAAAAGTAAAACATGTTCGAAGTAAAACAAAATAAAGACAAAAATCTAATAAGGAAGTATAGTATTTGGAAGTTGAAATTTCCTTGCACCCTGCCCAATACAACTCATCAGTTTGAGTGCTTGTTCAGTACTTAGTGCTTAAAAATATTTGGGGGGCCGGCTGGGTGGTGTAGTGGTTAAGTTCTCGCACTCTGCTTCAGAGGCCCAGAGGGCTCGCAGGTTTGGATCCCTGGTATGGACTGACACCATCATCAAGCCATGCTGTGGCGGCGTCCCACATATAAAGTAGAGGAAGATGGGCACGGAGGTTAGCCCAGGGCCAGTCCTCCTCAGCAAAAAGAGGAGGATCGGCAACAGATGTTCACTCAGGGCTAATCTTCCTCACACACACAAAAATATATTTGGGGAAAAAATTCCCAAAGATAAGGAAATAGTTAAGTGTTTAATGTGATTTTAATAAGTGACAGAGGAGAGCAGAAAGAAAACATGCATCCAGGTGGCAATCACATGGCATACGCCAGATGCAGAATCAGAAATGAAAGACAGGGCCAGCCCTGTGGCTTAGCAGTTAAGTGTGCGTGCTCCACTGCTGGCGGTCTGGGTTCAGATCCCAGGCACACACCAACGCACCGCTTCTCCCGCCATGCTGAGGCCGCGTCCCACGTACAGCAACTAAAAGGATGTTAAACTATGATGTACAACTACCTATTGGGGCTTTGGGGGAAAATAAATAAATAAATAAAAATTAAAAAAAAAAAAAAAAAAAAAATGAAAGACGTTCAGTTTTTCCCAAGGTCCCTAGTGGTAAGCATGATTAATAAGACAGCTTTATAAAAATGTTTATGTGGAAAATTTCTATCATACACAGGCCTAGTAGCAATAATCTAACACATTCCATTTATCCATCACACAGCAGCAATATGTGCCCACCTTTAATGGCTTTTTGAAACAAGTTGGCCCCTCAAGCAGAATTTCCATGTTTTTATAAGGGTGGTTCTGATCATTTCCCTGCTTAGCAAGAAAAAATAATGTTCTTTATGTCCATATTTTTCCCAATGACGTGAAAAACTTTCATTTTTAGTAGCATGTAGATATGCCAAAATAATGAACATTTTGCCCTCATACACAAGATTTTGTGGCTAGATTCTCTTTCTACTATATAATTTGAAGAAAAGAAGGGAAAAGTAGTAGCACTTAATGGCTACTCAATCTATCAGAGATCTTGATCTCAAATTAAAAGCTTCTCTCAAGCTGAAGTAATTAATTTTATAGCACCACTAATGGGATGCTGACAAGTTGGATCGTTAGCGATAAATGGAAAATGGTGAAATATTAACCACGGCCTCTCATCCATCTGCCATGATCATTATTTACCTAAATTAAGCAAAGTTTTATTCCATGGTGGTGATTTTTAATATAATAAGTTATCCTGCTTAAAATGCTATTTCTGCTATCTGATGACAAAAATCAATACCAGACCTTCTCAGTGATGGGGAAGGTGACTCTCCTAGAAGAATGACTGAGAGGCAGAAAAAAGACCCAGGCTGGACCAAAACTATGCCTTCCCTGGCCTGAATTTCCTGACAGCCAAATATTTCCTCACTTTGAACAAAATTTAAAGATAAACCACAAGTTGCAGGAAATTGCAAATATGGCAGATAAGGGGTTAACATACTTAATATACTAAAAACTCCTGCCAAAACACAAAACAAAAAAAACACTTGCCCAAAGTAAATGAAAAGACAATTCATATAAGAAGAAATATACATCCTAAAGAACATAACGGTAGCTAATATGTACCAGGCACTTACTGCAATGCCAGGTCTTCCTAGGCTCTTTTCATGTGATACCCACTTTTATCTTTATATGGACTTCTGGAAGTAGGTATTGTCATTACCCAAGTGGGTAAGTGAGCACAGGAGATAAAGGAACTGACCCAAGGTCTCCAGGTAGCCCCCCTTAACCAGTACACTGAACTTCTTCAGCCAATGTATAAAAGTGAATCATGAAGGACTTCACTGTTAAGCCACTAAGATTTTTTCTGCCCACCAAGTTGGCAGGAATTTTTTTTTAATAATAATTTTTAAAAATTGGTGAGGATTCTGGGAACTCTAAAAAAATGCTGGCAGGAGGGCAAACTGATAGAACTTTTCTGGAAGGTAGTTTACCAATATGTATCAACAGCTTTTAAAATGTGTTTCTGTTTTGCCCTACTTACGTATATTCTAAGGATATATGGGGTGTGTGAAGCTCATTGCCATAAATATTTTCTATCACCACATTGTTTTTACAGGAATTCAGAAATAAGGGAAATGCACAATAATGAGGCAGAGGCTGCCACAGGATCACGGAGTTTGGAGGCTGTCTAATGGTATGAAAAGCATAATACCATCTCGGGTAGAAAATGTAGGTGAAGAGAAGAGACTGTGCAACACTACCACACATATATCCTGAAACAAAGACTTGAGTAATACACATCAAATGTTAACACTAGTTTTCTTCAAATGGTAGAGTTATAAATGGTTTTTAATTACTTCCTTGTGCTTTTCTGTATTTTCCAAAATTTTTACCATGTCCCTGTAGATTTTACAATTAAATAAAACCCCACAAAGCTATGAATATTATTTGTGTTTAAAGGACTAACTCCTTAAGGTCCTTGTTTAAGACATATGCATTACAATCAGGTTAACACCTTATGTGAGCTGGGGCAAGTACGTTAGCTAGCTAGTATGGAGTTGAGCTGTATCTAGCTGCTTAAGTTAGTAGCCAGTATATTCTACCATGCAACAGGTGGATGGGACAGAGAATGGTACATGTTGATGAACAAAGCAAGAGTGGGTGATAGATGCCTTCCTCGCATCTTGGCCAAGACTTCGGAGGCCCTACACTGGAAGGTAATGGGTGGTTGAGTGACAGCGCCATGCAACAGAAATTAGGGATCTGCTTGTTGGTCTCCCACTAGTCCTAGACAGGTCTCATGCTCTGTATTGCTCTCCTAAAGCCATGAAAAAGCTATTTGGGGGATCATCTCATAATTTTATAATATGAAGAGCAAAGCACACTTCAGTCATACAGAAACTGGCCTTTGAAGAAGATGTTCAGAGACAGTCATTCCTTCTCAAGACCTAGAAACCATAAAGGCCTGTGTCCTAAATCAGGTGAAGGCTTACACTCTTTGAAGGCTCAAGGCCACGATCGGGTAAGGAGAGAGAAAGGAAGAGTGTGGGGAATTGAAGATTCTCTATGGAGGTGGAGACAAGAAAGTGGTCTTCACCTTGCCTTCCTGCTCACCTTTCCTGACCCAGCCCAGCCCCAGAGAAGTTGGTCCTCCTGACCTAGAAGGTCTCCTGGTTGCCAGGGAGCAAGCAAGAGGAAAGTCAACCAAGAGGCTTCCTTTTCTAAGAATGTCCCCCAAAAGGTTAAACTGTGCTCCTTATACCAAAAGACAGAAGGAGGCAGAGGAAGACTATCAAAATAACCTACACATCCAGTAGCTTGATTGTCTATTGTGAGACCCTAAAAAGGGAAGTTTGGTAAATGAGAAAGAAAAACCAAATAATTCTATTAATCTTCCTGTCTCATTGTGCTAAAGAACAATGTAATCAAGTTTAGTATATTCCATTCATAAAGTTGTTGGAAGAAATCCTGCTTAGATTCACACAGAGATGAAGAACTCAAAAGAAAATTTACAACCAACTACCAGAAATCTGCTTCTGCTTTCTAATTTTCTTTTCAGGTATGCTTATCATCTGCCCTGAGAAGTAAATCCCACAGGGAAGGGGAAATTGTGTAAAGTTTCTTCCATTGGGAAATAAGATTTTATGTAAGAGAAAATAAAGGAACAGAGAGATGATGGTAGTTCAGTGGCTCTCAGACTTTAGGAGGCAATAGAATCTTCCGGAGAGCTGCAAACATGCAGATGCCTGGGCCCCTCAAGTTTCTGATTCAGTAGGTCTAGGATGATCTCCAGGTGATTCTTTTTTTTTTTTTCTTGTGAGGAAGATCAGCCCTGAGCTAACATCCATGCTAATCCTCCTCTTTTTGCTGAGGAAGACTGGCTCTGAGCTAACATCTATTGCCCATCCTCCTCCTTTTCTTTCCCCCCAAAGCCCCAGTAGATAGTTGTATGTCATAGTTGCACATCCTTCTAGTTGCTGTATGTGGGACGCGGCCTCAGCATGGCCGGACAAGCGGTGCGTTGGTGCGCGCCTGGGATCCGAACCCGGGCCGCCAGTAGCAGAGCGCGCACACTTAACTGCTAAGCCACGGGGCCGGCCCTCCAGGTGATTCTAATGCGCACTCAAACTTGTGACCTATTCTGTAGATACTTATCATGGCATCTTTTTATTCATAAACATCATGCTGTTCCAGACAACTTACAACACTCCTTAGGTTGGGGCCAGTCTTGATGAGCAAACAACTGATAGGGAAGGAAAGTGGTAGCTACCAGCCTCTCTCCCCATTGCACAGCTGTTTGCTTCCAAAAACACCACCTTTTGACTGCTTGGCATGGAAGCTAGATAAGAAATCAAGAGAACTCACTTGCAGCCTAGCAAGGCATAAAAACAATGTACAAAGTCCAAAACGCAGAGTAACCAAGAATGTTAGAGAGGATTTATTCCAAC